TCTCGAGAGGGTTTCTCTAATATCTTCCATGCCTTTTTCGAGCCCAGCTAGAACCTTGAGAATCATCATTCTGAACTCTAGATCTGACATATTACCAATGTCTGTATTGATTAGGTCCCTAGCCTTTGGTACTGCCTCTTGCTCTTTTTTTTTTGTGGTGAATTTTTCCGCCTTGTCATTTTGTCCAGATAAGAGTATATGAAGGAACAAGTAAAATACTAAAAGCGTGGCAACAACCCCAGGAAAATATGCTTTAGCCAAATCAGACGAGATCCCAAATCGTGAGGGGGGGGGGGGAAGGGGATATAAAGAGGTTCAGAAAGAAAAAAAAAAAAAGAAAAAAGACAAAAGAAACAAATAAAAAAAGAAAACTAATAATGAAAAAATATAAAAAGGAAAAAAATATGTATTTATATTAGATAAACTAGTTTAAAAACGTTAAAAAAGAAAAGGGTAAAAGTTAAAAAAATTTAGCAGAAGAAGAGAAAAAAATATTGAAAAAGAAAAAAAAATTAAATTAACTGCAAGGCTAAAGAATCATGGGGAGAAAGCCATGAGTTTTGTGCTTTGCTTTCCTCTCCTCTGGAATTCCGCTGCTCTCCTTGATATTGAAACTGCACTCCTTGGTAGGTGAACTTGGTCTTGGCTGGGTTTCTTGTTGATCTTCTGGGGGAGGGGCCTGTTGGAGTGATTCTCAAGTGTCTTTGCCCCAGGCGGAGTTGCACCCCCCTTACCAGGGGCCGGGTTGAGTAATCTGCTCAGGTTTGCGTTCAGGAGCTTTTGTTCCCTGAGCGGTTTCCGTAGATTTCCGGAGGACGGGAATGAAGATGGCGGCCTCCCAGTCTCCGGCCCGGAGGAGCCGAGAGCCCGGGGCCCCACTCCTCAGTGCGCCCTCATAGAACAGCGCCCAATTACTCCCGTCACCCTGGCCTCCAGCCGCGCTCTGAGCTGACTGAGCCTGTGACCGGTTCAAGGTAACCCCAAGCTTAGAGCTCACTCCTCGGCTCTGTCTCTGTAGCCGGCTTCCCCGTTCTAATACCTGCAAGCTCTGCGACACTCAGACACCCCCGATCCTTCTGTGACCCTGCGGGACCTGAGGCCACACTGACCCCGCGTGGCCTTCACCCCGGTTAAGCCTCTGGAGCGATGTCCCTCAGCGGAACAGACTTTTAAAGTCCTGATTTTGTGCTCCGTTGCTCCGCCGCTTGCCGGGAGCCAGCCCCTCCCCCTGCGGTCTATCTTCCTGTTGCTTTGGATTCACTTCTCTGCCAGTCCTACCTTTCAGAAAGTGGTTGATTTTCTGTTTCTAGAATTGCTATTCTTCTTCTCTTCGATCTCCCATTGGATTTGTAGGTGTTTGCAATCTTTAGATAAGCTATCTAGCTGATCTCCCGCTACCTGAAGTAGTCTCAGCCTGCTACTTCTCCACCATCTTGACTCCTCCCCCTAGGTGTGTCTCTTAATCAACATTGAGTCACATGTATTTTTTTTTCATCTAGTATAAAAAACTCTGTTTTTGACTGCTCAGCCATTCATATATTATTATATTGGGGGGATTATATAATTCTTTTATTTCCTCTTTAAATATTGCTTCTCGAAATAAGTCAATCAGTGAAACATAATTATCACATGATCTCACTCATATGTGGAATTTAAGAAACAAAACAGAAGATCATAGAGGATGGGAGGGAAAAATAAAACAAGGTGAAATCAGAGATGGAGACAAACCATAAGAGACTCTTAATCATGGGAAACAAATTGAAGGTTGCTGGAGGGGAATAGGGTGGAAGAATGAGGTAATTGGGTGACAGACATTAAGGAGGGCACGTGATGTAACACCAATGGGTGTTACATAAGACTGATGAATCAATGACCTCTAATTCTGAAAGCAATAATACATTAGATGTTAATTAATTGAATTTAGATTAAAAAAAAAAAAAAAGAACAAACTGATAGTTACCAGAGGGGAAGTGGGTAAAGGGATAGGTAAAATAGGTGATAGGGATTAAAGAGTACACTTACAATGATGAACACTGAGTAATGTATAGGAAAATAACTAAGTAAGTAAGTAAATAAATAAATAAATAAATATTGCTTCTGCCTAGTTCTTTCTCTTCTCTCTTTCTAGGACATCAGTTATGAACATGTTAGAACTTTTCCCTGTGTCTTCCTTGTGATTTCATGGAACTTTTTCCTTTCTTCTCTCCTCTATTCTTCAATCTAATATTTTCTTCTGATTTATTCTAGTTCCATCTTCTGTGTCTCATTGTCTATTAGCCCCTATCAATAATTTAATTTCATTATTTTATTTTTCTGTTCAGAACTTCCATTTGAATTTTAAAATATAGATTCCAGAATAAAATATAAAATTCTCTATATTTCACCTTATTTCTTCAAACTAATAATCACGGTTACTTTAAAGTCCCTCAATTTGGATCTCCTTATGCATTTGTTGCTATTCTATATTTATTTTCATGATCTTGGTTATTAGGTCATATATATATATATATATATATATATATATTTTAGTTTTTATGTGTTTATTTGTCAGAGAGAGAGAACAAGCACAAGCAGGGAGAGCGGCAGGCAGAGGGAGAAGCAGGCTCCCCGCTGAGCAGGGAGCCTGATGAAGGACTCGATCCCAGGATGTTGGGGTCATGACCTGAGCTGAAGGCAAACACGTAACAGACTGAGCCACCCAAATGCCCCTAGGTCTTATCTTCTGACATGCCTATAAATAGTAACTGAAACTTGAGGAACTCCCTTCCATTTGTTAGGTGGGATACTGCCTGATTGGTGGGTCTCTTAATAAATCCAACTGTACCTTCAAAATAAAAATATATATATTTACTGGAACTTGAGCATTATGTATAAAAATTTTCAGGGCCAATTAACTGATCTAGATAGTGTTATCATTCTCCACAGATTACTTTTGCTTGGGGTACGAGGGAGACTGTTATGATGATGGTGACTCCCCTAATCTATTCAGTGATTATCTTTTTACCCAAGTAATTTAGTTGCTTAGAAACTGGGCTTTAACCTTGTCATGGCACAGCATTTCTAGTTCATGTCTTCTCCAAAGGTGTACTCCTACAAATGTTCCTGTCAAAAGCCTAACTATAAGGGCACCACTTTCTCGGTGGTCCCTGAACTTTAATTTTGTTCAGAAACCAGTTCACTGCGGCACCTGGGTGGCTCAGTCAGTTAAGTGTCTGCTTTTGGCTGAGGCTATGATCTCATGATCCTGGGATCGAGCCCTGAGTTGGGCTCCCTGCTCAGCAGGAAGTCTGCTTCTCCCTTTTCCCCAGACTCTCTCTCTCTCTCTCTCTCTCTCTCACTGTCTCTCAAGCAAATAGATAAAATCTTAAAAAAAAACAAGAATCAGGTTCACCATTTGTACTTCCCTTCCCCTGGGGATTTTGTTTTCTTTCAGGTTTTCACAGCCTAGCCAGCTTTCTATAGCCTTCAAACCAACAGATTTTATATTCTATCCAATTTTTTTCATTGTTCTCAGGCGGGTTTGTCTCGAAGTCTTCTCTACCATTACTAAAAACTAAAATTCCTCCAGCATGAGTTATTTTGAAACAAGTAACATTTTTACTCCTATAACACAAAGAATGCACACCTGCTGAAACTGAAGACTTTCCAGACAAAGAAGTCTTCCCTTGAAACTAAGAAACAAAAGTCAGGTGCACTAATAACATTATGCTCAAAATGAGAAATGTGAACACTAGGAAACAGGAATTGCAAAATGTTTGCCTAGAATATTCTTCAGCATCAGAGACCATAAATCATCACAAATTACCAAAATTATCATTCTAACTAGGGCCTTTAAAGTAGAGAGAAACCGGGGACGATGTGTTTGATGTCTGCATATTTTTTTAAATGCAGAAATGTCAAATTAGAGCTAAAAATTGGAGTACATTTAAAATGTTGATTTTTAAAATTAGCATTTTAAACCCACAGATTTCTATACATTACCATATGATTTACAAAATAATTATAATACTTATTGAATACTATAGTGTTATATAATATGATAGATAAATTACAGAAGTTTGAGGAACTTCTTTTTCTTTTGTTCTTTTTAAGATTTATTTACACGTTTTAAAGAGAGTGAGCAAGTGGGGGGAGGGGCCCAGGGAGACAGAATCTCAAGCCAACCCCTTGCTGAACCCAGAGACTGACACAGGGCTTGATCTTATGACCCTGAGACCCTGACTTGAGCCAAAATCAAGAGTCAACTGAGGGCCACCCAGGGGCCCCAAGGAACCTATTTTTCTTTCAATACTTCCCATTTATCTCTGTGACTGTGTGCATAACTTCTTCTGGAGATAATGTTAAGAGTCTAAAAAGTGAGGCTGCAGATAGCCATACTAATCTCACAGTGAATATTATATATCAATGACGGAGCTAATCACCAAAATTTATTATCATAATAGTAGTTCTAGGTCCCCAAGGAGCTACAGAACAACTCCATAAATGTTCTAAAGGAAATATTATAGATGTATAATCTTTCATCCCAAACAGAGCACACAGTTTATCTCTCCTTTTCTGTTGTTGTTGTTTTTATTTATCTGACAGAGAGAGACACAGAGAGGGAACACAAGCAGGGGAGTGGGAGAGGGAAAAGCAGGCTTCCCGCCCAGCAGGGAGCCTGATGTGGGGCTGGATCCCAGAACCCTGGCTGGGATCATGACCTGAGCCGAAGGCAGGCGCTTAACGACTGAGCCACCCAGGGGCCCCTCTCTTTTTTGTTTTCCCCCTAATTATCTACAAAATTCAGTTTGAATGAATATTTTTTAAAAATGGATTCTTACAGTAGTCATAAAACCTTTTGTATTTCTTAACAATTGGCCTTGCTGTCATTTTGCAACCTAGACTTTTTATTTTAAGAGGTTGGCTTTTCAGTGCTAGTGTGTTTGACATAGTTTTGAGGTTTTGTGGTTGCTGTTGACACTCTGCGGAACTTAAAACACTTTGGTTTCCTTTTGCTTTAGTGAACTGGCCAGACCTTTTAAGTGCACGCAGACCTTGAGAGTGCCCAAGCAGGCTTACTGTTAGAAAAAAATCCTATATGGAATTCAGACAGGTGGCCCATCTCTGCACCTCCCTGAGACGTCTAGCTTTTCCAGGTAAGTGCAGAAGACCTGGGGTGGGGGGGCTCAGGAATGAAGGTTACGCATAAAGAGAGCATGCAATTTAAAAAAAAAAAAGAGAGAGAGAGCATGCAAAACTTGCCAATGAAGCTCTGAAATTCAGAATTTTCAGTTTTGCTATAAAAAGCAAGTTTATTTACTCTGACCATAATTCCTCCTTTATAGAAAAAACTGTCTAGTTCTTTCTGTGTAGTATGTACTATTCTGAAGTCGACACCTAGTTTTTCTAAGTGGTTAAATATGAACAGAAGTGGTTTCAGAATCTGACAAAAGAAAAAGGGAGTCTGGCTTAAACCATCATAGAGGTCTTCAGGGCATCTGATATTGCATTTACACATTATTGAAATGTTTCGGGTTCTTTTTTGTTTTTCATTATGGAAATCTTTAAACTCTATTACTGGTAATATTAGCACATATGATTTAAAACTCTCCTGGCAGCCCTAATCCATAGAAGGAAACAATCAATAGTAATCAGGTACTTTGAAATTTTTAAAAGAAGTACATTCAAAATAACATGTAATAATGGTTATTGCTATTCTTTTTATTCTATTTTTTGTAGTAGTACATGACAGGAGAAATATGAAAATAACTTTGAAATCACACAATTAAAAGAACAACATCTGTTCAAATAATTTTACATTAAGGTCCATTTATACCTTTATTCCTTTTTACAAGAAATATTGCACTTCATAATATGTGAAATAGAATATAAGCTTAAAACAGTAAGTTAGTAATGTACAGCTTGAGTTTGAGAGCTTAATATTGCTTCTTTAATAAATTTATAATATAATTTTGGATGGATCACTTAGTTCCTGGATTTTAACTGCCTACATAAATGCATAATTATTTATCTAAGGAATTTTATTAAGGACCAGAATTACAACTCCTTGTTTTCATTTTAATTGGGCTTAAATCAGTCAATTAGTCAATATTTTAACTGATCAACAGGAGTAATGAGAAGACCAATAGATGAGGAATCAGATGGTGTGAATCCTAGTCTTCTATTTTCTAGTGATTGGATGAGTGATTTAGAAAACACTTTTTAACCATTCAAGGCCAGGGGTTGGCAAATTTTTTCTATAAAGGACTCGACAGTAAATAGTTAGGGTCACTCAGAACAAAAGCAAGATTGAAGATAATATGAAGGTAATATGAAATCATTTAAAAATATAAAAGCCATTCTTAGCTCACAGGCAGAACAAAAATGAGAGATGAGTTATATTTGGCCTTAGGGCCATAATTTTCCAGCCTCTGTTCTAGGCAATGATCTTCATCAGTTATAAAATGGAAGATGTAGGAATTCATGGATGATACACAGGGTGATTCACCAATCCCCTAAAATTGTATACAAACATTTGAGTGTATGTACATATGTTATTTATTTTTTAAAAATATGTTATTTCTTAATGGGAAAAAAGATCCACATATTTCATCAGATTTTCAAAGAGTCCAAAACCCATTTAAGGTCAAGGAGTACAGGGCTAGCTGATTCTTAAATATGTTTCTCAAATCTAAAAATTCAATGATTTTTATTGGGTGTCTACTATGTCTAAGCCACTGTGCTAACACTATAGTAGATGTTAACACATTATGACCAAAATAATATGTCAAAAATATATTAGATTGTAATATGCAGAAATTAATGATACCCTTCAAAGTAATAACTCTGAGAAAAATTCTATAATTAGTCAGAAATTTCTGAGATATTACTTTGCAAAGTGTCTTCAAATCTAGTATGAATTATGTCAAAATATTAATCAAATATTCTTACAGTCTCATCTTGTTTTTGATGACAATGGTATCAGTCATGACAATCATAATCAAACATAACCCAAGCAGAATCTCTTTCCTAAAAATATGATTTCCTTATGAGCAGGAGTTATGCTTTTCTCATCTTTGTATTTGGATACAATGTTTGTCACATACTAAGTATGTGACTTAGTATGTGACTAAGTAAGTGCTCAACATCTCTGGAATGGATATATGAATGAATGAATGAGTGAGTGAATGAATGAATGAAAAGATGAAGACACCATCATGCAGAGTATGTGCCATATATACTGAAGGCTTAGAACCCAAAATGCTCTAAGAACAGTTGCCAAGGCCAAAATTTGCTTCTCTTTTCAACTTTGGACATAACTGTGATTTCAAAATGCTTGGTCAACTAAAGATTGCAGTTCCTGGGGATTAAGCCATCTTTTTAAAAAAATATATAATGCACATGTTACAGATGTTCTAGTAACCTAGTCTATGGGATGTGGTGATAGGAGAATGATGTTTTGCTTAAGAAACAGCAGCATGCTCAGCATCTGCACCCTTCCTACTGAGACCAGGTAAGAGGTTGTACCAGCTGGAGCATTACACATAAATGGTAAGCTCCCTTGGGCAATCCAAAAGTCAGATCTAATAGAATTTAGGGTATCATGATGTTCCCTAATAAAGAAGTTCAGCCTGATTCCCATTGCCTGGCCAGTTGATGGTGGCAAAGTCTGAGCACCACTCACTGATGATTCCCCCAGCTACATGGGGTAGAGAATGACCTGGGATCCAAATGTACCTCTCCTCTCGACGCAGGAATAATTTCATTTTCTGAAAGAGAAATTCAGGCTACAATAGCTGGTTTGTAATTCATTCACTTCTTTAGGGAAATTTAAATCTTAAGACTTAAAAAATGTAAGAAGTGTTAATGAAAAGCCTGCACAGTCCTGTATGTTTCTAGAGTTATGCCTGAAATGTCCTTATTCAAAAAAGTGCATCCCGCCTCCATCCCTGCTTTTACTCCCCCTCCCCCTCTAAAAGCTGTTAGGACTAGAATAAATATCTTAGGCTTCAGAGGCCATACAGTCTCTGTCACAACTACTCAACTCCACAGGTGTCATGCCAAAGCAGCCACAGATAGCACATAAACAAATATCTGTGATTAGTTAAAAATGTTATTTACAAAAACAAGTGCCTGGCCCACAGGCTATAGAGCTGGCCTACGAACTATATTGAAGGTTTGATGACAACTGAAAAAATTAGTGTTTTAGAGGGAAGTGAGAGCCTCAAAGTTTGCTAGAGCATCTCACAGAACTCAAAGAAATACTTCCTTAAGGTTTATCAGTTTATGAAAGGGTATGATAAAGGAGCAAATGAACAGCCAGATGAAGAGATACATTAGGCAAGACCTGAGTGGGGGCCCAGAGCACAGGAGCTCTTGTCCCTGTTGAATTAGGGTACACGTCTTCTCCTCTGCCAGGAGGGATATGTTCACCAACCTGAAAGCTATCCAAAGCCCCTACTCCCCTACTCTTGGAGTATTATGAAGACTTCTTCATCTGGAATGATCAGTTATTAACTCCATTTCCAACCCCTCCCCCTTCTCTGGAAGATGGGGGATGGGACTGAAAATTCCAAGTTTCTAACTGGAATTTGGTCTTTTTGGTGACCAGCCCCCATCCAGAAGCTATCTGGGAGCCCACCCAGAATCACCACCATGAAACAAAAGATGCTCCTAGTGCTCTTATCACTTAGAGATTTACAAGGGGTTAGGAAGTCTGGTGTCAGGGACTGGGGTGGGGGAAGCAGAGACACATATATGTATTTCATATGATTTCACACCTGCACAACAGCACTCCTGTAATTTATCACACACTGCCTAAGATTATTTTAATGTAGGTCTTATCTTTCCCCTAGGTTGTAATCTCCATGCAGAGCAGTGACCTATATATCTAGCATAGACTTTATCTATGTAGGTGCCTAATTTAAAGAAGTTTAGATGGGATTTGGACAGGATATACAAGAATTAAAATAATTTGGCAGTCTCTCTCTTCATATACCATTTTATATACAATATTTCTTAAAAACATCTCTACCTAGAGCAAAATTATTAAATTAGCCTGTTTCAGATCTCTTCTCATGAAACAAATATCATGTAAAACTTTTTAGGTTCAGACACCTGGATGGCTCAGTTGGTTAAGTGTCTGCCTTTGGCTCAGGTCATGATTCCAGGGTCTCGGGATCAAGTCCCATGTTGGGCTCCCTGCTCCACAGGGAATCTGCTTCTCCCTCTGCCTCTCACCCCGTTCATTTTCTCAATCTCTCTTGCTCTTGTGCTCTCTCTCAAATAAATAAAATCTCAAAAAAATTTTTTTTAGGTTCTCTTAATTGTTTTCAGGAAAATATTTTTTTAATTTTAAATAGGTATTGTTATACCTACTTCATTCTTTATTATATTATAGGTAGAGAGACATGTAGAAATACTCAAAAGATGTTTATGACCTCTTCTGTCTAGGAGACATTAATACTTTGGAAAGGCACAATTTATCCATGTAAAACAAATGCAAAGTTCATGTCACTATGAGACTCTATATTTGTCCAACTTTTTAATGGCTTATAAGCAGAAGTAGGTATAATAATCTTTATTTTACTATTTTTTTTCAGAAAATTTAATTAAAAGAACTTGAAAGTTTAATGCCAAATTATCTTCACAGAAAAAGACCTGAAACAGGCCAATACTAAGATGTTGCTCTTGGCAGACATTTACAGAAAAAAATGGTTAGATAATTTTTATTAGATTGAATACAAGAAAAAGAATGTCGAATAAAAATCATCAGCCAAATGATGTATAGGTAGCTAGTTTTCTATACCAGGTCTTAATACCATTAAGGCTTATTAGAAAAAAGTCTTTTATCAAGAATACTAATTGCCTCCCAGAAGAACAGACTGAGTGGATTACAGAAAAAGCTCTGTTCCAGGCTAGGATTAGATCATTCTTCCTTTATACTGCTAATGACAGAATCAAAGATTAAGGTCACCTGGATAGTGTTGTTGGTCAGGAAAGTGAAATTTGTCTTCAGGTTCCAAGTTTTCCCTAGCAGCCTCAGTACTCGGGCATGCACTGCATCATTGGACTCTGAGTGCTGGGGTAATTTAATGAGTAAAAAGGTCAGTGAAGACAGAGGTCAGGAGGTTGGGACTCTCAACTGAGACTTGGT